GAGGATGCCACCTTTCCTCGAAAACAATATAGATTTACATGTTATAGTGTCGCCATTTCATTTGGGTAGTGAAATCCGGCGTTTCTTACGGTTGCTCAAGTTATTTTTTTCTCCGCTTGTATTATAATAGAAAACCTACTCTCAAATTAGAATGCCCATACTTTTTCAATGATAAATCTCATTCCTTCTCTATTTATATTTTACCTCAACTATCGAATCGGTCATCGATCTACACTTTGTAGCAACATATGTCTTATCATTTTACTTCACGTGTTGATGTGCCTCATATATTTGCAGTGATATCCTATAGATGTCAGATGCCAACCACAAACACTTTGTTACAATATTTCATCCTCTTTCATCTAGACCCTACACCGGTCTGCCTACGATGATGAAGAGTGCGCCCGACTCAAGGAAGTGCTCAGTATGCTAAGGAAAACTCGGTTGAGTCTGGAGCGGGATCTGTCGAAACAATCTTGGGTTTGCTTGCATTTGGCACGCCTGATATCTACAGGACACTTGGTTGGCCGATATCTTCCGCTATATCTGGATATGCTTGCAGGCTCTGCTTGCCCACCCAGTCCACTAACTAATAGCGGCAACCAGACAACACCACCCTCGCCAACTACAACTACCACCAGTGGTAGTTCGTTACTTGGTGCTTTCAACTCTACGGGGCATCCCTCATGCATCACATCCACCATGACTACAGCAACCACGACTGTTACGACAACCACTGCTACCGCTACTGCGAATACCGGCACTCCATCCATTTATGCACAACCATGCTCAAACACTGCTGGAGGTTCAGTAAACTTTGGGTTCTCAGCTCCGTCCGGTGATATGCCTGGTTACGGCCAGTCGGGTAAAGTGGAGGAGATTGAACGTCTGCTTGGTGGCAAAGATAAACTTTTAGCTCCGAATTGCAGCCGTCTGGAACTAGGAGACTTTGTAATGGGTAAGTTCCATTCACAGGTTGTGATAAACTTATTCCCTGAAGCTGTTTGAAGTTTCTGCTTAAAATGAGCTACTTTTGGGGGTATGATCAGCGAGGAATGCTGTAATGTGCATACACCCAGCACTAGTTATTTACTAATTTCTTTACTGCCCCTAAAACAACGTAAGACTCTACCCGATGTTCACAAACCGTCGATAGTCATAGTATCTAACTTTTTCTTTTTTCTTTATTAAATACATATTGATACAGTTTCTAGGAATGAGGAAGTGACCAATCAGCGGACAGCACACAATGGGGAGTTAGGCGGCGGCGGCGGTTGTGGTATTCGAATACACGTCCTCCGGGGCGATAATTTGGTGACGTTACCACCGGGCCACCACCACCCGGTAATGCCTAGGATTTGTTCACTCCCTTCGGTACCATAAATACAACTGTTATAGTTGAATAAAGGCTACACATTGCTCTCCAAAATGTTGGCAACTAAGGAAAAGGTGTATGACTCTGATTATGCTGATGACGTCGTCTGTCTGTTCAAATGCCGGGAGGACGCGCATAGCGCACTTGACAGACTAATCAGTTTTGTTATGCCGTTGTGTATGCGCTTTCAAAGTGATGCTGCAAGACTGCGTCGTCTAGTCCCGCTTCGAAACTAAATGGCCAGGAATTAGGTATGATGAGTGTCTTTTATAAATTAGGTAGTTGTGTGATCAATGACGGTAGCACAGCGAAGGAGATAGCCACCTGCATTTACAAGGCTGGAGCAGCCTATGCAGGACTGAACTACCTTCAGGATTAGACGTGACGTTTCACTGAAGTTGAGAAGTCGCGCATAATGCGCCACCTTTCGATCATTTCTGCTTAATGGTTATGAGAATTTGAATTCTTGATTAGAGGACATCCATCGCCTAGAGGTTTTCGACAATGCATGCTTGCGTAGTCTGGCCCGGGTTGGATTGAGTGAGCGGGTTGGTTACCCCGAGATAAGTCGTCGTGTGTTTGAGAATATATCGAAGAAAATTCGCTATCACACAGAATCTAGCTCTGTTGGCCTCGCTGGTTGGGACACATTTTGAGAATGTTTAACGTTCAGCTACCGTACGGTGCCTTATTATCAATTGTCGCTCCGGGCTGGGGTCCAAAAGAAAGTAACTGACGGGTTGGACTCACTAAAGGATATGATAACTGATCGATGCGATGACGTTCTTGTTGTTTCTTCTCATGAAATCAGAATGCTGGAAAAAGTGTGTGTGTGTGCAATTTTGAACTGTGTCTATCTGTGTCTGTCTATTTTTATTCTGGCCGTTACAGTAACAGGATGGAAATAGACTGTCTGTTTTGCGTTGCACGAGTGTGGTTTGGAAATCGGGCAAGCAGCTCTGAGGTAGACGCAGGGTTTTAAATAATCACAGTCGTCCACTGGAGTAAGTGGTCGACCCTCGTATATTACTTTGATTGGGATATGTGTTGCGCATGTCACCCAATTGATTGCCACGGCGCACCTTGTTTGCCAAGGCAGGCAATGAATGGAAATGATCAAGATCGGTCAAACTAAGACCTGGCATGGGGGTGTGAAAACCCTGAGCAGGAAACTTATTATTATTTTTCACACACGTCTGTGCCAAACAAGTCATGGCACAAGAAAAAGACGTTCCATGATTTGTATGTGGGTGGAATACTGCCAGGTTGTCCAGACCAAGGCAGGTGAATTCTCTCGTTCATATAGGTTGCGTTAGGCTTCCTAGACGGGGATCCCGGGGACAGCATCATTCATGGTTAGAGACATTGAGTGATATAGCCGAGTATTGCAAACATTGGCACTCGAGCATGTGCTCATTATCCTTGCAATCTTAGTCTATATGAATTTTCTATCTTCTCTTGGACTTTGCTCTGAACATTCCAATCTTTTATCCAAATGTGCAATCAAGATACAGCAACCAAAGCCGGCGCACCAAGGTACATGAATAATGGTTGTAAAAACAGATTGAAAACTCTTTGTGTTAACCATATAGATGCACTTTCTTTCCCCCCTCCCTCAAAATAGGTCCACGTTAATAATTTTCACTTGGTATGCATTGATCAGTGAAGTTCGCTTCACTGTATTTCCGCTGTATGATGATGAGGATTTTTTGCTCTTTAGTGAATTCGTTTTTCTAATGCTTACTAAGAGTGGTTAGTCAGCATCAACCAGTACGGTTCTGGGGCCGTTGATGCACGCTTTTTGCTTTAGATTGATGAATCGTACAAAACCTCAGTGTTCAAGTGCAGTGTTGTGTGGAGTAATAGAAAATTTCTTCAATTGAAAACCACGTTGGCAATGATGAAATTTAAAGCTCAATTCTTATCAATCCTTTCCCACTGATGACGGTGATCTAAACCACACTGACACGACTGTCAGTGATCTCGTGCAACATTGTTTATTGAATCACACTGGACGATGCACAAATTAAACGCTCTACGGACTAGAACTTCGTATAGTTTAGGGCTTGTTATGTTTGTCGGATTATTCTGCAACCCCCATCTGGGCTTCATGCGGATTAATGTATGAAAACTTAAAACTTTCTGCAACACTAGAGCAGACGTAATTTGGTAACCTTATCATGGGTTGTCTGTCAGTTCAGGTTTACATCACTAATTTGCATATCAATCATTCTCTCCCGTTATCAGAGGGACGCATTCATTTACGGACCGAGACCAAACGTTCATCAACGGAACATATTGCTTATCTTTTCACTGGCCTACTAGTCATTTGTAAATGGCAAGAGCGAGGTACCACCCTCAACCCGAGTCTGAGTCAGCCTTCGGTTCTGCGCGTAAAGCATCGGATCCCACTGGACGTGATTCACGTTACCGACATGGCTCCAATTGTACAGCCTAACCTGCCTCTTTATGTGGGAAACACCGGGACCGTTACTTCCTCAGCCGTTGGTGCTGCGGTTTTAGCTGCAGCCTCTGCAGCAGCTTGCGGAATGAGTATTCATCAAGACGATTGTTCTCGTGAGTGTATGCTGCATTTGATCACCGGCAATTCTTGCAAATTTCCATCTGACAACACCGTTCCTTCACCGTCATTCCTTTACAAGTTATTTTTCGATTTTTTTGCCCAAAAAACATAACCAAAGTTTTATGATGGGGAATACTTTCAAGCGATTGCTTTTCTTGTCCCTTGGAGTTGTTCGCACTAATGGATCGATTTACGGTTCATAGAAAGATAAGTAGTGCCACAAATTTTCTTTGTTTCTTTTACGGGTGTCGAAATTTATGACTTGACAGTGTTTCATCCAGTTTGTGCTTGAAATAATAAATTATGGGCGCATAGCAGCTTAAGGTAATAGAGAATTCAAAATACTGCACACTCTGAGGGCACTGAATGAAGTGGGCATTGTAGACAAGTTGACAAAGGGACTGGATAACTTGTCCCAGAGGCCTTTTACAAATAACTGACGTGGGTGTTTCGCGATAGAACAATGACGTCCTGGCTGCTGTTTATGTTAAGTCTTCGTGATGGGTATTCAGTAAAAATGGTATGCAGCCCCAAACTGCAAATTACAACCATGTACATCAGCATTGGGAGAAGGCGGATAGCTCTTTGTGGTGTGGTTCTACAGCATGCATTGCACATGCTTCAAATTCCAGACAGTATGCCGAACAGTTCACGGGCCAGTATGACAAAGAAAAAGTTTCAGTTTGAACAACCATCAACCATGCACTTTCGAGCGCCGGTTTTGGTTGCTGTCTTTTGGCTGCCCATTTGGATCGAGAATAGGAGA